TTAATTGATTGATTGATTGATTGATTGATTGATTATCCACACCTGTACTCTGTTATCATTAATCGTAAGTTGCAATTTTGTTTCTTTTGCTTACGTTGTAATTAGGTCGTTGAGTTTTAATTTTTGGTTTTGCGGTTTTCTCCGTACTGCGCATAATTAAGGAAACCGCTAATCACGATTAACCTAATTAGCGCTCATTAGGGTTAGCCCTAACCTAWGCTAACGACCTACCAAGCCTATGGGAAGTAAGTGCCAGCCAGGCACCGCGCCAATTAAGGCAGATCGGGCCTGAGCACGGCCACATTCAAACTGCAACTTCACGAAACTTTCACTTTTTGCAAAACGTATCTTTTATTGCGATTAAAGGTTGAATCTTTACAGCAAATTGTGTATCTTCCTACTACCATTAATCTTCTACTTACTTCATGACCTCATAATGATGCTAAAATCTCCTGATTAAATTTCGTGAAATTATTAAAACTATGTTTAAAATTTAAATGTTGAATCTTGCTGAAACTTTATTCATTTTTAGTAGTGCAAATTTGAATATGCTTTAATTAAATATTTAACTTTTGCAAAATTAATTGTTGCAAATTTAAATATTCCTTAATTAAGTATTTAATATTTTGCCAAAATTGAATTTTATTCAATTCACTCGTATTTTCCGATTAAAATTAATTTAATTTAATATTATTAATCATATATTTAATTTCTCAAAATTTGAAATTTTTGTGGGGGGGGAATTTTTTTTTGTTTTGATTAGTGTCAAGTTCGAGGTCACGGAAGAAAGGGACTGTCTGTGCATTGTTTGCCTCCCTTCCCTTCTTCCACCCCTACCTTCTCTCTCCTCCTCTCGGTACTGCGGACTTCAGTCTCGGGCCACGTCAGCATTGTGCCACATCAGCAGGATGCCACAAACGAAGATTGCCACATCCGCAGCATGCCACCTCAGCGTGCCACGACAGCAGATTGCCAAATCAGCCACGGCCACCTCAGCAGTGACACGTCAGCAGCTGACAAAGACAGGACTACTTGATGGGTCGCAGTCAACGACTGGCTGAGCGCGGATCCAGGGAAACCAAGCCCCAACAGGGACCTAGTAATCCGTTTGAACCTCGGATCCCGCACAGACGACGCATGATCATGGCCGCCACCGCTGACGCAAATTCACAAAGCCAGCCCCGCGAGGCCAGCCACTCCCCCTATGCCAGTTCAGCAGGCAGATGAAACGCTAGTGTCGTTTCTTGAACGTCTCCAGTTATACTCAGAGACTACTGCAGCTGAACTTCCCAAATGGGAACAGGAGGAAGCCGCCCGCCAGCAGGCCATCCAACGCCAGCAGGCAATCCAACGCCAGTTGGCAGAGGCCGAGGCAGCACGTCAGCAGGCGGTAGCAGAAGCTGCAGCTGCTGCACGGTTGCAACAGCAGCAGGTCGAGGCGAGTCAGAATCAAGCTTGTTACCAGGCTACAAGGGAGCTCGCCAACGAAGATGCCACGTACCGGAGGATACTTCGACAACAACACTTTCGAGCGAACGAGGAACAAGAGGAGCCGACCGAGGAAGAGAGAAGCAAGGAGGAAATAGCAGTACTAATGGAACACATGTTGTACACGTGCAATTGGCAGCAACGTGAGCTGCTGGCCATGCGGCAGACCTTCATCCAGACGCAGGAACAGAAGATCACCGCCTTGCAGAACGCGAACAGTCAGCTGCAGACCATTGTCAGCACAGGGGTGGCACGAATGTCTGCAGTTGAGTCGACAGGCAGTGCAGTGGCAGACTGCAGGCCAGCTTTGGCTGCGCAGGCCAAGCAACTTGAGGAGCAGATCAACCACGTAGTCGCATCCCTTGGCGACATCAGCACGTTTGCTGGGACGTCTACGATCAGCAATCAGCTGCAGACGCTCAGCGACCACGTTCAACAACGAACGGCCGCTGTCGTCAAGGAATGAAAGATGCCGAACTTCAAGATTGAGAAGTTCGACAACTACCACAAGACTAATCCGTTGCAATGGTGGATGGCATTCAACGCGGAGGCAGATGTACATCACACCCCACCACTATGGCGGCTTGACGGAGTCTACCTCCAACTCATCGGAGGCGCACAAGCTTTCATGACGCACATGGCCGTCACGTTGGAATGCACCATCGCCACCCTCCACACCAAGATCACGTGGGAGGAGTTCGAGAACGAGTGGAAGACCCAGTTCATGGTCAACAACGACAAACATCACGCCTTGAACAAGATCTTTCGCATGTTTCAAGGCCAGCAACCATCACGGGAATGGATGGCGGAGTGGCAAAGACTCGTCGCTACGCCGGAGTTGAACCTGTCATTCGACTCAATCCGGGCTGAGTTTTTTGCCCGGTCGTGCGACGCCTTGACAGCTGCTTTTGGCAACGAATTCCAGTATGAGACCTTTGATGAAATGATCTCCAAGGCAAGGGAGCTCATACAAGGTAACCGGCGCGCGGCCAACAAGGCCCGCCAACAGACCGGTTACGTGGAGAAAGGCAAAGGTCAGCAGACGACGCAAGTAGCAGCGATCCAGCAAGGATCTAGCGAGGACCACGCAGCCGCTTCAACATCAAGTGACGGCAATGTGGCGGTAGCCCACCGCAACGCTCAAGACCCCGAGGGGGAAAACATAAGGCGAAACCAGCGTCGGAGGATGGAGCACGACAATCACCATGGACGAAGTTCGGTATCACCGAAGACATGTTCAAGTTGAGACAAAAATGGGGATATGGTTTATGGTGCAACAGCACCAAACACATCACTAGCGCATGCCTCAACAAGGACAAGGAAAATGTCAAGCGTCCAAGCTCGAGAAAGTGAGCACCGCGGGAAGTGCAACGACATCACTTCCCAATCCGCCGGACTCGGCTTCCTTGCTAGCAGTCTCTCTCACGTCCGGGGATGACGCGGTAGTCGCAAGTTCTCGGATTGACTTCGATAACTATGTTGTCGAGCTGGTCCCGCCGTTGAATCAGCCTCTCCACGTGCAAGATTCAAGCGCATGCGCGGTGTTACCGCTGTCGGACAACGAACCGGTTGGCTTCGCCAGCCCTTCTATCGGAGGAACCGTTAACTTGGGCGAGTCTTGAGGAACTCGATCCGTTGACGGTTGAGGACTTCCAACGGTTGCCTCTTCCCTCCACCAGTTCTTTGCCAACACCGCATTCCAACGCCTTGATGGCACATTTGTGCGAATACTTGCACGCTGTAGTACCACCTTCGTCGACGGACGGCGGAGTAGCGGTTGTTGACCTTCGTAGCTATCTTGCAATGATCGACCGCGAGCACGCAACACAAGGGTACGCCGACATCGACGCGCCGCTCCTCTACATTCGCATTCAGATCCAAAAGGCGACCTGCAGTGCCTTGATCGATTGTGGAGCCTCTCGCAACTACATCAGCCAAGACTTTATGGCACATGTCGGGCTAGGCCCGCGCGTTCGAAAGAAAAGTCAGCCTATGCACTGCACGTTGGCCGATGGTCACACGCCTTGACTCCGTGCCCGTGTACTTTACCCCGCTAGCATGCGAGGCTGTGTCATTCGACGTATTGAACACTAAGTTCGATATGATCTTAGGCATGTTGTGGCTGCAAAGCGAAGATCATCCGGTGAACTTTAACCAATGCACCGTTCACGTTCGTGATTGGCGTGGCGAACGAGTCCCATGTACGGTGCCGCTTCCTCATCCTTCGATTGGTTGTCATGTGGTTTCCGCGGTGAGCATTCGCCAATCCATCAGTCGGCACGACATCGAGGAGATGGGCATATGTTTTCTTCACACCCTCCCACCCGGTGATCAGCCCAAGACGGATATATCGGACCCACGCACCATTGAGCTTTTGGACAGCTATGAGGATGTCTTCCAAACTCCCGCCGGAGCCGTACCGGATCGGCCCATACGCCACGGGATCACTCTCGAGGACGGCGTTGTACCTCCACGCGGATGTATTTACCGCATGCGCAAAGAGGAGCTTCAAGTGCTTCGGGCACAACTAGATGACCTTTTGGCCAAGGGCTGGATCCGCCCTAGCTGTTCGTCATACGGTGCTCCCATTCTCTTCATCCGGAAAAAGAACAAGGACCTTCATTTGTGTATCGACTATCGGAAACTTAACACGCAAATGGTCAAGAACGCCGGCCCTCTCCCTCGAATCGATGGTCTTCTCGAGCTATTAGGCGGCGCCAAGTACTTCTTGAAGCTTGACCTTAAATCCGGATATCACCAGATCGAGATCCAACCAAGAGATCGGTACAAAACCGCATTCAAGACGCGGATGAGTGGATCATCATGCCTTTCGGTCTCACCAATGCCCCAGCTACTTTCCAAGCGGCAAGTCCGACGAAATTCTGCGACCTGCTTGACCGCACCGTACTCATTTACCTTGATGGCGTCTTGTTTTATAGGCAGTCGCTGGACGAGCACCTTCGCGCTGTTTTGGAGCGGCTCTGTATCGTCAAGTACAAGGTGAACCGCGACAAGTGCGAGTTTGCCCAGCAAGAGCTGGAGTATTTGGGTCATTACGTTACGCCGCAAGGCATTCGTCCGCTCGCGGACAAAGTACAAGTCATTCAAGATTGGCCGGACCTCGCGTGTACCACCAACATCCACTCCTTTCTCGGCTTAGCATCATAATACATGCGCTTCGTCAAAGATTTCCAACGGATCGCTGCACCATTGTCGTGACTTCGGTCCCCCTTGGTGCCCTTTGAGTTCAATGACGAAGCCCGCCACGCGTTCCACACGCTGAAGACGGCTCTGCTCCAAGCTCCCATCTTGAGCATCTACGACCCGACCTTGCCTACGAAAGTGACTAAGGACGCTTCCGGCTACGACATTGGCGCGGTTTTGGAACAGCATGACGCATCCGGTTGAGTACTTCAGCCAAAAGGTGTCGCCCATCAATACACTTGATGATGCGAGGAAGAAGGAACTGCTAGCTTTTGTCACCGTATTTAAGCGTTGGCGTCACTTTCTCCTCGAGCGTCAACAATTCACGTGGGCAACGGACAACAATCCGTTGACTTATTACAAGACGCAAGATACGATGAGCAACACGATCGGTCGTTAGATGTACTTCATTGACCAGTCCGACTTCACCTCCAAGCGTATTCCGGGCCCCTCGAACAAGGCAGCGGATACTCTCTCACGAAGACCCTATCTTTGCGCCTTGGTGCACTCCACATTTGGCCTCGATGAGGACCTGCAACAACATTTCGTAAATGGCTACAAGTCGGATCCGGGATTCTCCACACTCTACGCAGACTTATCATCGGATCACCCGCCGGCAAGCAATTATCGCATTGTCGACGACTACTTGCTTCTCCATACACGAGGCAAGGACTTGTTGTATGTTCCCCAAGACCGCATCTTGCGCACTCGCCTCCTTGGCGAATACCACGATTCGTGGTTGGCGGGACACCTTGGCGTCGCATGCACACTTGCACGACTCTGCCAGCGATTTCACTGGCCGAACATCATCAGCAACGTCAAACGGTACATTCAGTCATGTGCAGTTTGCCACCGGAACAAAGGGCGTCATCAGCTCTCGTACGGCGAACTGAAACCATTGCCGATTCCTCGGGAACCAGGTCTCTCCATTGCTATGGATGTGACCGGTCCTTTCCCTCGCGATCGCCTTGGCCACGATGGTATTCTCACCGTCGTTGACCGTTTGAGCAAGTACGTTCGATTTCTTCCATGCAAGTATCATGCGACGGCTCTTGAGCTTGCACGACTCTTGCACACCGGCTGGTTTTGCAGCCACGTCGTTCCGGAAGACATCGTCAGCGACCACGACACTCGTTTCATGTCAACCTTTTGGACACTCGTGATGGAATCCGGCACCAGCATGAAACCGAGTTCCGCACGGCATCCTCAAACGGATGGGCAAACGGAACGTGCGCACCAGACTACGCAGATGATGCTCCACACACTCATCCGCCCGGATCAAGAGGACTGGGTTGACCGCCTTCCCGACATGGAGTTCGCCTACAACACTTCGGTGCACCCGACGATCGGCGTGACTCCCTTTGAGTTGCATTACGGTGGACGGAAAGGCCGTATCTTCGCAGACATTTTGCTTCCACGGGCTGCCGATATTGACACCGCTTGCTCCCCTGCTTCTACATGGAAGTACAGAGAACTGCTGGCCAAAGCCCGCGCAAATATGCAAAAGGCTCAGCTCTGTATGCAGCAGCAAGTGAATCGGCGTCGCATCCCATGTCCAATCCGCGCCGGCGACCTTGTTTGGGTCACCTTCGAGGAATTCGCGCTCGAGCAGCACGTCTCGTGCAAGCTCCTCCCTAAGTGGTTTGGTCCACGGAAGGTCACTTCAGCAGCTGGCGGTGACCTCGCGGGTCCCTCTTTCATGATCGAGATTTCCCCGCATTTGAGGGTCCACCAAGTATTTCACTCTTCAAAGCTGGCGGTCTATACTCCAGCCTCAGCAGCGGATTTCCCGGGCAGACGGTCACACGACCCTTCATCAATGAATAGTCACCAGGAGGTCGACCGCGTCCTCGCTCATCGCAAGCACGACAACAAGCCAATGAAGTACAAAGTTACATTCAAGCAATGCAATCCCGACGACACACGCTGGATTTCACGAGCTGACAGCACCCCTCATCTTCGCGCATTACGAAAAACAGCGACTTGCTAAGGAAGCTGCCCAACCCGCCGCCCCGTACGGACATCGGACAAACAACTTTGCCCTCGCAGTAGATCGGTCTTCAAGGGGGGGAGTGTGTGGCATACTGATACCACACGGGCCCCAGTTAGGGCCCGGTTCTATAGTAGGCATGATTTAGGCCTAGGTACCAGGTCATGGCAGTCTCAGATAGGTCCAGGCAGGCCTAGGAACCGTCGGTTCAGTTTAGGGTCTGGTAGGCCTCGTTTAGACCCCACCAGACCCAACGGCTAGTTGGAGAGGCCATGTACTGGTCCATCGGTAGGACCGGCCGGCGGCGACTGGTAGGCCTGAGGCCGACCCAACACTACATAAGTTGGGTACCAGCCTCAGTCAGGTAGGTTAGTAGACAGGAGGTTAGTCTACGCGTTAGTCTTCAGGATTAGCGCAGCGCTTGAGCGTTAGCAGGATTAGCGCAGCGCTGCAGCGTTAGTGTGAGCAACGAGGAGAGATTGAGCACAGCGGCGAGAAGGAGTTAGTGCAGCAGTGGAACAGCGCCAGCCATTGGCCCAGCCCACGGCCCGGTGCCAGCCTGCTGCAGCGCCATGGCTACCAAACCAGTTACCAGGGAGGAAGGTCTTGCCTTCTCTCCCTCTTCTTCCTCCGCCACTCTCTCTCTCTCTCTCTCTCTCTCTCTCTCTCTCTCTCTCTCTCTCCTACCTTTTAAGCCTAAATCTACTGGACCACTCTGACTATGAAGGATGGTGACGAGTTCTGATGACAGTTGAGAGAGTAACATTGAGACATTGCTTGGGGAATGCTTCTGGGAGATCGGCATCTGGGACACCGTGAGACTCTGTTTTCACGGCATGTCGGATTTGCGTCACTTATGACTTTCGAGATACTATTTCTGGATCTATGGTGTTGACGTCAACTCCTCCTTTCGTTTCTCCTCTCCCTCCATTCGTCCGTGTATGATCTCATACCTTGGCCTCTTCTTTTGTGTCCAAGGCCAGGGCTTTCACACCACTGATGTATGTTGAGAGTGTTTCGTTGCAGTCTGAGTCAGGTCGGAGTCAGTCCCCATGGGTATCAGCTCTTCCGATGTATTTGTATTAACTTTGTATTATCTGGTCGGTTCTGGGATTCTGCGCCATACTTATGACCGTGTTTCACGAGTATGCAACACGGGGGGGAAAGAACAAATGTGGGAGGAGGGGGAACGTGGGGAGCAGACTACAGGGAACAGTCCCCCACCCCAACAGCCACCTCCCCCCGCACCTGATTCAGAAGATCATCGGTACATTGACCCTCTCCATATGGCCTTTGGCACGGAGCCGATGGACATCTACTCTTTCCACAACACAGCCCAATCAGCCTCGTCAGGGCTGAGTTAACAGAGGTGTGCGGGGGAGGGGGAGGACAGTGCCCCACCATAGAATATGCCCGTGAACCAGAAGCACATCGCAATTGCTGAGCGGTTAATGACCAATTTGAAAGCAAAAAAAGGCCCACTGACGGATTGCTTTTGGGATGCGTCTTACATTGAGATATTCACAATGTTGGACAGGAGCGACTCACTCAAAACAGCCTTGATAGTAGGACTGCCTGCCGGCAGGAGATATGCCGAGGTGTGGCACATGCTAGCTATAATTGTGTTCTCGCATACCTACCCAGCTAAGCCATTACATTCTCCAGCAAGGGTGGTGGGACTCCCCCCCCAAGGAATCGATGCCCCCCCCCCCCCCCCCCCCCCCCCCCCCCCCCCCCCCCCCCTCTCCTCCGGGTCCCACCGGATCCGGCCTTGTGCGGCCGGAGCTGGTGAGGAGGAGAAGGCTCAGGCTCCTCCCGTTATGTGAGGCCATGCTGCTACTGCCTATCCGGAGGAAGGAAGGCAAATCTGAAGTGGGTTTATATCTTGTAGAAAGCAGCAGACAAGGGGGCAATGCTCCAGGGATGGACTTTCTGGGCTTGGTCGAGAAACCAGACCTCTTCGTCGGCGGCATGGATTCTTATTACAACTTGTCAGCCACATCTTAGAAACATGTGAGTCAGGCGCGCAGGTCATCCTGTCAGTTACAAAGCCCACCAAGATTGTGCGAAGGGACATCCTCCTCGAATTGGACCCCTCCAAGGAGGCAAGCCTGCGAGTGGCACACACACACCCAGCCCAGCTGCTCCATCTGCAGGTCGTTAAAATTTGACCTAGTGAGGTGTGGACTGAGCATGACACGCAAAGGTGTTTGCGCTCAGTCCTCAGACAGCTTGCTAGCGGCCGCAAGGGAGTGGGACTTGGATCAATGACAGTGGGAGCGCCTATAGACCCCACCGTAAAGATAACCACCAAGCTGAAAGATGGGGGGAATGGATCTGGTACAGGCAGTCCACAGCAAAGATAGAATCTAGAACCCATTTCAGAGAGCAACATACCTAGACCTGCGATCCTGGAATGTCAACTGTTCGGCCACCGCGGCACTGGACAAACGATAGCTGATCTGGGACCTTATCAAAGGGGTGGGAGGGAGGAACTGGCCGGACGTCGTGTGCATCCAAGAGACTCATCTCATGGATACTTTGGAACATAATTGAATCCACAGAACAATCTGGCCCCAGTGGGCATTTACTGTGCCTGCCCCAAAACCGGGCAGCGAAGGAGTGACCATCTAGATCCCTCCGCAGTCTCAGCCAGACATGATTCAGTGGGCGGTGGACTAGGAAGTAGGCAGGTGGGCATCAGTGTTGGTGATGCTTTAAATGGAGGTTATTTAGGTTTCTGTGTCTATGCCCCTAGTTCGGTGAGGGAAATAAAGGGATTCTTCAATAAGACCAAAACACAGATCCCGACCGGGATACCGTTCCTTAAAGCCGTCGACTTCAACACGGCCCCGGGCCGCTGGATGGACCGGTTGCAAACCCCCTCCCTGACCCCAGAGTATATCGAGGAAGAGAAGAGCATGATTCGGGATTTTTGCCTCTCGTTATGGGTTTATGACACCTTTCGAAAACAATAAGACCAAACGAATAACCAGATAGCATTGCCCAATGAACATCCAACTGCGCAAAAGAAAACCTCTTCACCTCGAGATGCGTGCAACGTAAAATGAGTATGAGGGGAGGAGATTGCACACTTTTTGCAGCCAGTCACGAAGGAATTAATTGATCATCCAAGGACACAATTAGGGAAAACCCTCACCAAAGAATAGATATAGATGGCATTACTGCAAATTGATGAGTAAAAGGCGCACGGCCTGGACGGCTTCCCTAAAGAATTATGGGAGACCTTCAGGAGCCACATGGCCCCAGATCTGATGAGGTTTTACAAGAACATTTGGGAAACCGACAGATGGGGGAGGTTGTAGGATAAAGGATCACTCTCCTACATAAGAAAGGGGACAAAATGGATATCAGGAACTACCCCTAATTACTTTGTTGACGGTAGTGTACAAACGGTTAGTGAAAGCACTCGCCAACTGCCTGATCCCTGTCCTGGAGAACATCATCCATCAAATACAGATGGGATTCGTCAAAGAGTGCAAAATCCATGACAACGTTCTATTAGTAAACGAGCTACTGAGGCTCATGAGACAAAACAAACATAACGATGCCTTAGTCTTCATCGATATCGAGAAAGCCTATGATCATGTGGATTGGCTCTTTCTCATAGGTGTTTGGAAAATATGATTTTTGGTCCGCACTTCCAGTGATGGACTGCGATATTGCACTAAAATGCCAACACGAGAGTTCAAATAGACGGCTTGTTGACCTCAGAGTTCCCAATGCAGCCCTCACTCCGGAAGGGGGACCCCCTGACTCTTTTTGTTTTCTTAATTGTCATGGAGACACTTGCAACAAACCTTTGTACTAACAAGGATATTAGTATAGAAATTGACCATCGCAATGGACGCAATTCCAGTCGTTCGCTTTTCGCGGACGACCTTACTTTTATGGTTAAAGTCTCCCCCGAAAACATGGAAACAATCAGGAAATTGATGGACTGAATCAACCCCGTTTCAAACACAATCGTCAATAAGGAGAACAAAATATGGCGATGGTGGATACATCGTCAAGGGGTGCGCCCTCCGGAACTGCTGACTGACTTTCGGAAACGGCGCCCATTAGGGTGCTCGACATTATGCCGACTGCATTTGGCAGGCTGGCATTAGAGCGGCCTGGTCATACGCCTTATGCTAATTGTCTAGGCAGGGGCAGCCTGCATTCGGCTCCATTACCTTTGTGACCATTAGAGCGGCCATCAGACCAGGCTCGGGAGACTGCATTTGCCAAGATGACATTAGAGTGGACGGGTCACATAGGATTTTGCAGAACTTAGTGCGGTCTGGTCATACGCCTTATGCCAATTGTCTAGGCAGAAGTTAGTCAAACCATAAGTTGGTGTGACATGGTTATATGCCTTACATTTACTTATTCCACCAGGCTAGGGAACCATAAGTTGGTGTGGCCTAGTCATATAACTTAGACAGGCCAGTGACACTCATAAGTTGGGTTGTTTGATCCTATGCTTTATGTAAGGAAGGGTAAAAGGGTTATAACACGAGGCTGAAACGAACCATGTGATCTGGAAAGGGACTTGAGGGATACCAAGAGATGTTATTGTGCTCACTTGTGTGTGTTTTTTTTTTTGAATCTTTTGGGATATCTTTTCGATAGCTTAATCGCTTTAGATGCTCGAGTGTTAGAGGTATAGGCAAGGATGATGTGAGTGAAGCTTGGGATAAGATAAGACTGACCTGACTAAAAGTTAGGACTAGTGCTAGCTCACGATATAATCTTCAAAAGAAGGATCGTGTAGACTTTCTCCACGACTTTCCAGTTTTAACTGATAAATGAATGTCAACAATTAGTCTCAAGTATAGTTGTACTCTACTTTCACATTTTCAGTTTTGTATAAATCTCTATATTCGCCTTTTTTAACGGGAATTGCTGCCGAAATTTTTACAAATTTGAAAGAGTTAGTCATTTTTTTCCTCATAAAAATCTTGGAAAGACACTTTTCTTATGGGAAGTGTTGTCGAAATTTTTTGAAATTTGTACGCTACTCGTATGCTAAGGGGTCCA